TGATCCGAGAAAGTGTAGATTTGGAGCATCTTTGGGTTTCTCTTCTCTTCCTTTGAGCTTCTCCATTTGAGGTCGGGATAAACTACTATTTATTATGAGTTTTAACATAAATGTTGGTCATTTGTATAAATGGTGAGATATGAGAAGCTTAGTGAAAGTAAGGGTTTTGAGTTTGAGATTTATGAAAGAGGGGTTTTCTAGTTTTGGGCTCCATTGGGTATATGAGGTCTTGAAATAGGGTTATTTGTGTATGATTGATGAAATTTGACCTTAAATGCAATATTTGAGAAATGGGGATTAATGCCCTAATTGGAATTGAATAAATCATTTGTATAATTAATGAAGTCAATTATGAAAATGTGAAATTGATTTGGGAATTATGAAATTGGAGAAAATTGTTATTAAATGGTGTAGTTGGATTGATAAATCACTCACCCACGGAAAATGTAATAAAATATCTGTTGAGGAATTTAATTATCTGTTTAGATATATCTATTTTGGGCTATCGGTGGAGGATAGCCATGATTGTTGTAGAAACTGCATGATGATTAGGTAAATTGAAACTAATCAATTGGATTGTGTCATTGAATATGGCGGTTGGATTAAAGCGTTGAATATGTGAATTTGTTGGGTCATTATATATGCCAACATGTTTAATACATTGTATATGTATCTTTGTATAGGAGGAGATAGGGGATGGACTCCATTGATAACTAAGTTGGCCGGAGTGTCCAGGGTACAAGTCCCGAAATCTTATTTATTTATGGGTGCCAGTTCCTTCGAACGTAGCTCCGTAAAATGGCAAGTTATGGAAGTAATGAATGATGTTTGTTATTGAAGTGTTGATATATGAGTTGTAGTCTCATTTTAAACTATTTGGATGATGTTGAACTATGTCAATGAATTGATTGGATAAGTAAATGAGAATGTATTGAATTATGGCTGTGAATGTTAATTGGTTATGGAGAGGATATACGTAGATTACTTGTGTTAAACATTTATCAGATGCTAATGTTTTAGTTAATTCTCATATAATGTTTAGTGTATCTCTACTGGACTTTGACTCACTCTACTTAGGACACCATTTTTAGGTGCAGGTGACATGCCGCCTCTAAGGACATAGCTTGGGAGGTTTTGGGGCTAAAGTCTCTGTTTTGTTGTTGGATTTTATGTTTATATGTTTTTCCTTCCAAGCCGAGGGCTTTATTTGTAAAGGGCTTCTGACCTGCTTTTGTTGTAACCAAGTCATAACTTGGAGAACTGTAAGCCTGTAGGACATTTACTTTGTTATTAACATGTAATACCTTTTGTATAGAAGATTTTGATGAATGAAAATATAACTTTTCCTTTATGTTCATGGAACTCATGAATGAATGATTTATGTCTTAATTTGAGGGTGTTTCAGGAGTCTACAGAGGTGAAGCGGTGATGCGAGGTGGACAGCGACTCTGGCGTCGCGGACAGCGGTGACTGCGCTGTGGAGGCGGAGAGAAGAGGTGCGAGAGTGAGAGAGAGTAGAGGGAAGAGAGAGAGTGAGAGAAAGAGAGAGACAGAATAGAACATACATAGGGGTTATAACTTATAAGGAGTATATATAGTAAGTTTATTTCAAGGGGCTAACAGGGACAAGGTTCGGGTTGGGGACGGGCTGGGGCCCGGCGTGAAAAACATATCACCGTCCCCGGTCCGAAAATCATCAGGGATTTATTTTTGAGTACCATCCCCGGCCCATTGGGGATATTTTTCGAGGAAAAACCGCTCTAATCGGGGTCGGAGAGTCGGGTCCCCGTCAGGCCGGTTTCAAATTGCCATCCCTATCGAGCACATGTCGGCCGGGCAAGAGAATGAGTTTAGTTAGAGGATATAATCCTGGTCGCACTAGTGCCACCAGAATTAAGGGGCAATTGAGAGGGAGATTTACAACTTGATAATAGGCCTAGCCAGTTCGAACTCGAGTCTAGGTCTTTACTCGGTCAAACATTGGGAACACGCCGGACCGAAGATGTAGTCCAGTCGAGTGGGGACAACTTCAGGTTACTAACCTTGAAGAAAGGCAGATTCTGTCGAGTTGGACGGAGTTTGTCCTTAGTAGATCGGACCGAGCGGGAGCTCGGTCATAACTATTTAGCTCAGTTAAAGCCTTCGTTCAGGTTCGACCAAAAAGACCAAATAGGTATCACGGTCCTTAAGTGAAGGCGTGGCACCACGCTAAGCACAGCTCGGTGGGATGTGCTACGCGGCGTGACAGGACCGCGGGAAGAAGATTTCGCCGTCCGTACGCGTCAATATCGTTTGGTGGTTTCGTCATTTGGTGTTTGGTGGTATCTACACGTATACGTAGAAGAATGTGAGGGGGGAATATATCTACACGTTAAAAGGAGGACAGACAGAGAGGAGCGCGCAGAAACTATATAAATGACGTTGCGTATCCATGCAGAGGTCTGGAACATCTGGTTATGAGAGCTACCTACCCCTTTGTCTCCTCTCTCTCTCTCTCTCTCTAAATGTGCTAACTTGATTGTTGAAGGGTTTTTCCGGCAGTACACTGCCGGGTAGCTCATCGTCTTTGTGTTCTCGGGTTACTCAGGAAAAAGAAAAGCTTGGACACAAAGAGTACGAAAAGTGTCGAATATTTCCTCCCCGTACAAATGGAGTGTTGAAATGTTTCCCAGTTAATGAATGGTAAGTATGTGAACAAAAACTTACCACACCGTAGAGATGACATTTAAAAATACAAAATTTTGAGATTTAATCAAAACTTGTAAACAAAAATGAAAAAAATCTCTTGCTAGAGTGGTCAGTTGAATTTTTTATTATTTATGTTTATTAAGTTAGTATTTGGTTAAAAAAAAAAAAAACTCTCAATAAAATATTAGATTAGTATGCTAATGATTGTATACCTTAAATGTAGTATGAGTGGCATACTTATAGGAGTTAATTTATTTTGATTGAAAAACATTTAGCCATTATTTTTCCTTCGTTATGCTTTTAACTAAGATCATATCTCACCTTCTCAATATTCTTCAAAAGGATAAGTACATTCTCCTTCAATATAGACTTATCCTTAACTTAATCTACCTATTGTGTGAGCCATCTCACTTACCGTAAAACTTGACTGCTTGGTCGACAATTTCATTCAATTGTCATGTTACATGTCTTACTTAGGCATGCAATACATTATTATGCTTATAAACTTTTTTAGGTAGAAAACCAATATAGTCAATGATGGATCAAGGGGGCTACGGGGCCGGCCGCACTCCTAAAAATTTGAAAAATAATTATAGAAGTTTGCATTTCTAAATTTTTTTTAAATAATTTTAAAATTATATAAAGTAGCTTCCTAATTTTTCAAATTATAAAGTAACCCCCAAAGTTTCAATCCTGGATCCGTCCTGAATATAGTACATCAAGTAACTGCAGAAACAATCCCAACCATCTAAATCCCACACAACTGAGGCCCACTATAAAACCCAACACAGGCCGGGCTCATTCACCACTAAGTAGCCTATGACGTCCATGTTTTGGAGAGGAAATCCCAGCCTGTAGATTGGCCTAGGTTTCTGATCCTCTGGTCTCTCTAAAAAAGAAAACGACCCCGCTACGTAGCTCGAATCCGTGGCTCGAATCTGTGGCTCGACACCAAAACGACGTCGTTTTGGTGTCTTTGTTTTTTGTTTTGTTTTTTTTTTCTTTCTTTTTCCTGTGTTTTTGTTGTTGTTGCAAAAGGAAGACGAAGAAGAAGAGAAGGGAGGAGGAGGAGGACTGGAGGGGGCATATTCACAGGGGGAGGAGGAGGCGGAGGCGGGGCCGGAGGCGACGGCGGTGGTGCTGCGACGATCGCTGGTGCTGCGACGACTGGCGACGGCGACAATGATCTCCTCTCCTCCTCTCTCTTTCTCCCTCTCTCCTCCTCTTTCTCTTCTCCTCTCTTCTTCCTCTCTTCCCTCCCTCTTCCCTCTTCCTTTTTTCTCCTTTCTCTCTGTCTCTGTCTTCGAATTCGAGCCATTTTTCGAGCCACAGATTCGAGCTACCAATCTTTTTCCAAAAGAAAAATGGTTCATAGAAAATAATAATGATTAAATTTTAGGGTTAAAAAAATTTGATTAAATTTGATTTTTTCTTAAAAAATTTAAAATAATTACAAATAATTTTAAAAGTTAAATCAAAGTAAATGAATTGTAAACTACGTTAAAATTTATATTACACAATAAATTATTTTCAAACAATTATTTTTTATTTTTTTGGTTCAGCAAAGTATTGCGTCAACCTAAATATATTTTAACTTCCGTCACTAATTCAGGGGTTGTTTGGTTTTCTTTTTTGGCTAAATAATTATAAAAAGACAAAAAAATTTAAAAAATCACAAAAAGTCAAAAATCACAAAAGGACAAAAAAGATTCATCATTCTAAAGCTAAAAAGTAAAAAAAAAAACCAATCAAGAATACCAAACAAATAAAAAAATAAAAAAAAAAGTCAAAAAACCAACTAAAAAAGTTATTGCCAAACAAAGACTTATGCCTCGTTTGGGAACAGGTTAATTTAGTAACTTTTTGACTATTTGGCTAAAATATAAGCTAAAAAAGAACTAGTATATTTGGGATAACTTTTTAGCTTTTTACAAAAAGAGTGTAAAAAGTAAAGAGAAAAGAAAATTTTTAATTTTTTAGTATGAATTATTGATTTTTTAACTAATTTAATAATTTTTTAACCTTTTAACTAAAAAGAATGATTCCTAAACAAGGCCTAGTCAAAGACAGCACAAGAAATTCACAAAAAATTATTTGCGAATTGTTCTTCAACTCCACCCCTATTTTTATGTGGAAAATACAAGTCCATGTAATTCCGTAAAATTAATTACAAATCAATTGATATATTTGATAAAAATTAATAATTAATATTATAAATTTTTTCATGTACTTATTTATTTATTTATTTGTAAAAAATCACTGCACTGCATTTTCCCCTATTACTATTCACTTGCATTTTTTTATTATTCAATCCAAATGAAAAAGAAAAAATAAAACAAAAAATTGTAGAAACATGGGGGTATAGCTACCACGGTGAGTCAAGTGTATGAATCTCCAAGGTAAACCCAAAACCCTAGCTCTCAGCTCCAGTCATCGGCGGCTGACCTTAGGATACAGAACCGTAAACCCTAGAAGCCTGTGTTCTCATATTCAACCATCGGAACCTTAATCTACATAAATCGAAGCTGTGTCTGTAATTCGATTCAAAGATGCAGCACGACGAGGTCATATGGCAAGTTATCAGGCACAATCACTGCAGTTTCATGGCCAAGTAAGTTTCTTTCAGCTGAATCAATTATTGATTTTGCTTCGCATTCGATTCCTTTTTTGATTGATTGGTTGATTTTGAATTGGGTTTCTTCGTATGTTAGAATAACGACAGGGAATTTCTGTCGAAACCCATATAACGTGACTGGGATTTGCAATCGGAGCTCTTGCCCTCTCGCTAACAGTCGTTACGGCACCATTCGCGACCATGATGGTTACTAATTTCTCACCTCTTCTGTTTATTCGTCTTTGTTTTCTTGTTTTCTATGCTGATTCTAATTCACATTCCCTTCATTTTTGTGAAGATTAGAACTTTGTAGCTAATCTTGAATGCATACTATGGGTCAACCGCTATGGGTCATAATCAAACACAAATATGGATCGCAACGAAAATCACTAGTTTCATAACCCATTTTGATTTGATATTGTGGTGTGATTTCAAATTATTTATTTATTTGTTTTTTGGGCTGCCGTTGCCTAGGACTAACCATTTAGTAATTTAAGGTAACGAAAGATGGGTTGCTAGAAAAATTTTCTGCGACTATAGTAATTAGAGCACCACTTTGCTTTGATCTGTTTATTGGCATCATTTCTCTAAGCTGTGGAACTAAACATTAAAAATTTTATGATATACATTATAAAGAGATGTACGCTTTTAAGTACTTGTAATTTTTATGGAGCTCATTTCTCTCTCCTATCTGATCTCCAAATCACGGGCAAAAATCTTAAAATGTAAATTGCTGGAAAAAAACCCCTTCAAGAATCTTATATTCAACCTGTCCTTGGAAGTCTCTGTTTACCACTTGTGGAGCACTAGGAATGGATAACAGAGTGTTTACTCAGAAAAGGAGAGTAACTCTTGCACTTATTATAGTTATATTGAAGAGGACAAGATTCAGAGTGTCTTGAGGCTGGAGGACAAAAACCATTCTAACTGGAAAATTTGCATGGTTTTACTTATCTACCTTGGTTATAGCTTAGAATTCTGCATAATAGCAAGTTCTGATTTGTACAAGGGAGGATGCCCCTCACTTGGTCTGTGCTTTATTGCTTATTCTGTACAGTACAGTAGTATAATTTCTACTGTGCCTTATCCTGTTTTTGCCGTCTATGAAATTGAGCGGAAACAAAGTTGAGGCAGGCTATGAAACAGAATTGTTATTGAATCATGAGAAAAGGCTAGGCCTTTGAGTGTTGGTATTTATTTTGTATGGTAAAACAGGATTTTTGGTGTTTCTGGGGTTTGCAACTTCTAGACTATTCTAGCCCTTAGCATTTTTTGATATCTATTTTTTGGGGTTTGAAACTCTTTCACACTGAAATTTGGCACATGCCATCTTTATATTATTATGTAGGAAGTGTTAATGGATCTTATGCTGTCTAATTGTCTCAATGAATCATTTGTACATGTGATGGGATGTCAATGTCTGCGCATAATTGAGCGCATATCTCTAATCATCTTATTTATTATTATTATTTCATCTTTTGATGCCTTGCAGGAGTCTTCTATTTATATATGAAAACTATAGAAAGGGCTCATATGCCAAACAAATTGTGGGAAAGAAAGAGTTAAGCTGCCGAGAAATTATGAGAAAGCCCTTGAAATTATTGACAGGCATATGGTATTGTAGTTCTAACATGTTCTAGCAGTTTGACTGGGGTTTTGATTCATTTTTATATTAATCTGGAGCACATTCAATTGCTTAAAATCTTTTCTTGTTTTGAATTGATAGATGTATTGGCCTAAGTTTCTTGTGCACAAAACAAAACAACGATTGACTAAAATGACTCAGATGCGAATACGTATGAGGAAACTTGCTCTAAAAACGAGGTTCGGATATCTCTTTCTCTCACTGTTCCCCCACCAATATCTGCATGGTAGACCATCATGGTTATAACATGCCTGATAATCATCCAGTGTATGGATTTTCTGTTTTACTTTCAAAATCATTTTTCAGATTATCCTGTGCTGTTAGTTGTTAGCTTGAAGAAGCAAAATGTGTATTTGCAGGTTGGTTCTAAAATACCTTGCATTTGGTATGATGAATGCTGTATTTGCTACAAGAAGCACAACTAGCATATCAATATTTACATTTACAAAGCCTCATGTAGAATCATGTTACCTTTCCCACTAGGAAAACGATTTCCAAACTCGTAATGAACAAAGCTTCCTAACTAATTAAGACTTAGCTACTTCCAAGTTCCAAACTAGTATTGAATTTAGGAACACTCATAACCCAGGCACTAATTAACCTAGAGACTAAATAAATATATATCACAGAAATACATAGTCTACAAAAATACCAAATTCCTTTGATTTTGACAAATCTTAAATTTTCCATCTCTAATGTAATTGGAATTGTTTGTCTATAACCAGACCCCTCAAAATGGACCTTTAGAGAGATCCTCATTCCCTAAACCCTATCTTTTTGTTGCTACATTACATATTTACCACCATTTTTAGTCACAAACACCAATGCAAATAAGCCCCAAAGCCTACTTTTCTGTAGATATATATTAATTTTGGGTTCGCTACTAGTAGAAGAATGTTCCCTGTGCTTGTCCTACATCAGCCTGACATAAAAATACCTAGTGTGTTATGCTTTTTCTTATATGTGAATCCTTGTATGCAGGGAAGATGGTTTGTTTTATAGCAATGAATGGCCGATATAAACCCTTCTTGACAATAGTAATCTGCTCTTAAATTTCATTATATTATATTGTCAGATGCCTTCAACCAATATTGTGTATTTGACCTTCCACTCAAAAAAGTTCCTTCACGACTACTGTTTGGGAAGTTGTAGTTCCAAACTTGACATGATCATTATATGCAGTGTTTTTTAAAGCAAAGAGTGAACAGAGGCAATAAGGTGTCTTGAGGCCTAAGTGTGAGGTAATGAGGTGAAGTGACATGAAGCTGTCATCAAAGCAAGGCGAATGCGAATGATATTTTAAAAAAATGAATAAATAACATAAGCAAAAACTTAATAAGTTTAAAAGCTTGATGCATGTAACATTCCAAATACTAAACATTAATAAAATATAAAAACATTCAACAAAATGTGACATTTCAAATACCAATATCCAACAAAAAGGTAAGACATTGAACAAACACTAACATTTTGACATATGAAAACATAAAAACGCAAAATAATTGATTAACTTCTAAAAAAAAATTTCATTGTCAATCATGGCCAAAGTAGTTGTTTAGCTGAAGTTTATAAAAACAGTTCAACATTTTTAAAAATATATATATGTATATATATATAACAGATAAAATAAAATAAAAAAGATAAAGCCCATAGTCATAAACTATGAATTGATGTGCATACAGCATCATATGTTTGTTACAACTGCACTGATTCTTTTTCGTCACTCATATAGTTCGCCCGAAGTGACAAACTATGATCTAATGTGCATGTCATTTATTTATTACAACTCAAAAAGTAGATGGTTGAGATTAAATCATAACAGGGGAAAATTTCACCGCCTTGAATGCCTCAGCTACCTCGGCCTGAGCCTAAGGCAACTGCTTCAGTCTTGCCTTGCCTCGCATCTTGCCTAAGCCATCACTTAGGCACACTTTTCAAAACACTAATTATATGCATGCAAAGAAGTGAGAACTTTGTGTCATGTTGCATTATACTGTATTAATTAACTGTAGAGGGTTTTTGACAGAATATATAGATGATCAATAATGCCATGGTGACCAATTTTTGGTACGGAATTTTGGATGCCATTTGAGTACCACATTTTAGATACCATCTTATGTGTCACCAATGCATTGGTTTAATGGGCTTCACCTTTCCCATTAAACCAATGCATTGGTGACACATAAGATGGTATCTAAAATGTGGTACTCAAATTTGGTTACGGTAGCATCGTAATTGATAGTTGATATAACCCCTACTTGACAGAATAGTACTCTTACATTTCATTATTTTGTTTATGCTGCTTATCATGCATTAGTGAGTTGTAATCTTTTATTGCGCAAGGTTTGGGTTCTTTTCCAGCTTTGGCATACGTTTATTTTCCATTGTTTGTGTTGCTTCCCAGGGAAAAGATAATGACAACGCCTAGGAAACAGAAGAAAAGAGAGGCTAGGAGAGAGGAGAAGGCTGAAAAGGCAGCAGTTTTGGATAAGGTTGTAAAGCCATTCTGGTCTTGTGCTGTTATTGCAACCTGAATATGTTGTCTCTAGAGCTCTCACTAATGGTTGTTGACAATCCTGCAGAGTATTGAAAAAGAATTGCTTGAACGACTTAAGAGAGGAGTTTATGGTGATATATATAATTATCCTGTAAAAGAATACAATAAAGTTCTTGATATGGACCGACTCCAGGTTGCTAGTGAAGATGAAGATGAGGAGGTATTGCATAACTTATTGATATGAGCCCGATATGAAATTAATTTTGTGATCAAAAAATATTGAGGAGAATGAAATTAATTTTCAATTGAAATAAGCAGGAACCTGAGATTGAGTATGTTGAAGGCTATGAAGAACTTGAAGAGGAGGATGACATGGAGGATTTTGGTGGTCTCGCAATTGACAAGTCTGATACAGATGTTGACAATGGTAAAAGCTCTTATAATCGTATTTGTCGTTATTAGTATGCACAGTTTCTTAGAATGTTTTTGGTTGATGTGATTTTTCTCAGATGTTAATACATGTTTTGTATACACATGCATATTTCATATATTGATTCCCATAAAATCTTTTTGGCGTATTGGTTGATTATGTGTTTATTGCCTATCGGAAGTTAAACAGTGGGTTATTTGGCTTTAGCAAAACTGCCCATGTGAGTATTTTTTTTTTAAAAAAAGAACATGAGATTTATTCTAACATTGAACATTACAGATGCAGTTGGAATAGATGATGATGATGAAGAAACAGTAGCTATAACAAACCAAATAAGAGAGACTAAGAAGAGATTCTCAAAGAAAGCTTGAGAAAGATGAACCTCGTGCCAAACCAAAGAGAGTTAGAGTACTTGTTGAGGTAAAGATTATCCAGCTCCATCAAGTTTATTATAGTTGGTTCATTGTTCTCAATATAAGTCATAAAAGGCAATTGGTAGTTTGATCCAAAATAATTACTTACACAGCCCTATGTTTGCTAAAGTGGTGAAAACATTGAAAAATTTTTGTTAGTTTCAGCCTAAAAGTATTTTTAACAGTCTACCCTTAGCACGATTTGATGACACACTTGATGCTTGGGCAAGTAGTTAATCCTAAGGAAGTGGAAACTTCGATGAAGATGATGGGCTATTGCATGTTTTTTTCTTCATTTCTTTCTAGGGATGTTCAACGATTTTGAAGTATGTTATGCTAACATCACAAAAATAATATTTATTTGTCAGGTTGAGCGCGAAGATACTGAGGAAAGACAGATGGCAGTCCAATGAGACTGTGTCACTAACATTTTGACATATGAAAACATAAAAACGCAAAATAATTGATTAGTTTCGACCTTTAAACCAGATAGCAGTTAATTATATCATCAATTGTATTAGTTAGGGTTTGTGCTTGTCTTCTCTATAGGCAGAAATCAATGCCAGAGCGTTCCTGCTTCTAGGCTCAATATTTCTTCTAAATTTGTATGACAAACAGGGAGGCTGCTCAAAGAGATGTGATATTTGGTGGTTGTCATTTCGATTTTGGTTCAATTATAATGTTAGACTAGATTTTGATCTTTCTTCATCTTCCTCTTCCTCTTCTTATTATTTGTTTTAGATTTCCCATTGGATTATGATATCGCTGGTCGTGGAAAGTGGTAAAGCTTGACTGTAGAAGATGGAAGGTGTGAAAATAGGAGAGAGGAGGGAGCTTTGTGGAGGAAGTATTAGGGTAATTTTGCTTTGTGGAAGGGAAATGAAATACATTTCAAATATTTAATAGGTGAATATATTGTTGGAGGCGTGAAAATATTTTAAGATTATGATATTGTTTGAGAACTGGTTGGTTTAGTAGTTTTTTGATTAAAATATTTTAAAAAATTTGTGGCCGTGTTTGGTTTGGTTTGATTTTGAGAGATAAATTTTTTTAAAAAAAATTTGAGGTGAGTTTAGAATTTTTTTTAGTTTGTTGGTTATATATTTGAAAATAATTTTAGAATATGGGAGTTTGGATTATTTGATATTTTATCGTAGTTAAGAACATCTCTAAGGGTTTAATCAGATTTTTTATCAAATCTGAGTAAAAAAAAAAAAAAGATTTTTTCTATTTGATATAATCTATTCCAACGGAGAAATTTAGGAGTTGTTTAGGGTGTCTTAAATAAGTGTATTTTTTGTCTTTTTGGACTAAAAAGTTGAGGAAAAAAATATGGTTGTTTGGGTTAATTTTTTGACTTTTATGGAAAAATGTGTATTAAAAATTATATAAATTAGTGTGTAGGGAAAAATTAGGATTAGGAGTTATTCAGATTCGGAGTTGTGCAGTCGTAATTTTTGACTTTTGGTGAAAGTGATAACTTTTTGAGTAATTTTTTGACTTTTTGGTAATTTTCCAAACTTGGCCTTAGCTTTTCATTAAATTACTGGTCGATCAGGCGGACGGTCGGGCAATGCAAAAAATGAAAAACTAAGAAAACAAAGTCGTGGTCGACCGAGTGACTGTCTAGTGTAAAATTTTCACAAAATTTTGCTTAAGGCAGTCATTCAGAAGGCCGTCTGGCCGGTTGTTCGGTGGGATCCACCTCCAACATAAACACAGTGTGTTTGGTGAAATTTGCTCTACTTCTCATTTTGGTGAAATTTTTGGTGAATTCTCAATTTGATATCCGTTTGGTGAAGCCGTTGGAGCCATAAAAGTGATTTTTTCACCAAATTCAAATCTGATGGTGAATTTGATTCACCATTGGAGATGGTCTGAGTAGATGAATGTGAGAGAAAAAGTAACTACAAAATATATGAGAAAAAAAAAAGTGATTGATTGATATGTAAAAAAGAAATTAATTTTGGAATTTTTTTTTCAAAATTACTAAATTAAACAACATTTTGAAAAAAAAATTCCAAAATTATTTTTTCAAAAACAAACCAAATAAGACTTGCATGTTTGGAATTATTTTTTGTTTTTTTTAAAAAAAAAAAAAAAAAGTGAAAAATAGAGTGAAAACGAAAATTTTGAATTTTCTTTTTTTTTGTATAGTTTATTAATTTTTTAATTTTTTAATAATTTTTTTTTTACTTTTTAGTGAAGTGATGGGATTGTATGAGCATCTGTGTGTATTATCACACTAATACATCCCAAGAAGATGAAGAAAGTCATTTTCTGAACTGAATTTGATATGTGCTCCCAAATCCCCTCTATTTTCATATTAATTTTCTTTTCCGAGAAAGGACGTCAAATCACACCTTCATATCTTTTCTCGAGAAAATCGCGGCAGTATTTATTAATATGAACCCAACATATCACCGATTTGACGGCGTATCTAAAGTTGTTGTTTGATATCACTCTTGCCACGACGAATGTTGATAGTGTTATGTTAGTGATTTTGGGTGTTTGATTTGTGTTTTAAGATAATTCTTTTTAAAAAATGATAAATTATATTGATATTTTTTGAGATTTATGTTTATTATAATTTTTTTTTATTTTTTAAAAATTACATCTTATTCTTGAGGTTTAAAATTTTATTACAGATTCTCTCTCAGCAAATTAATTTTTGTAAATACTAATTTTGCTTTTATTGGATAAATTACATTAACACTCCTCAAATTTTAGAAATTACAATCCCCTCCTTAAAGTTTAAAGTAAAATTACCAATTATCCCCTCGGTTAATATTACTTGAAAAAAAAATTTATTTGAAAAAAAAATTAATTGGGAAAAAAAAAAATTGAAAAAAAATTTTGTTAGTAAAATTTTTAAATTCTACTTAAAAACCAATATAAACTCATTTTTTGAATTTATATTTTTTTCTTAAATTTACAAACTGAGACAATAATTTATAAACCAAAAAAAATTATCAAATAAGTTTTTATGACAGTTTTTAAAATTTTTGTAAATATAAATTGAAAATTGAAAACGAAATGGTTACCAAATAGGCCTCAGATAGTAAAAATATTGTAAAATTAATAAATAATTAAATAAGTTACCAACCTAAGAAATGACTTATCAAAAGATTCTTAGACTACGTATGGTTTGATTTTTAGATTTTTTTTTAAAAAATTAAAAATTAATTTGGTTAAAAAATAAAAAATAAAAAATAATTATCATTTTTATATAATTTTTATCTTTCAAGTGGTTAGAAACAATTTTTTATAAATTAAATTGAAACAAATATACATATGTATATAACCTACCCAAAAGTTAAAATGATAATTATTTTTTATCTTTAAATGATAATTATTTTTTATTTCTTATTTCTTAACCAAATTAAATTTTAATTTTTTTAAAAAAATTCTAAAAATCAAACCATAGATTGCTTAAGAATCTTTTGATAAGTCATTTCTTACATTGGTAACTTATTTAATTATTTGTTGATTTTATGAAATTTTTATCATCTAACCATTTCAATTTTCAATTTTCAATTTATATTTACAAAAATTTTAAAAACTGTCATAAAAACTTGTTTGATAATTTTTTTTGATTTATAAATGGTTGTTTCAGTTTGTAAATTTGAGAAAAAAACGTAAATTTAAAAAATGAGTTTACGTTGATTTTTAAACAAAAATTTAAAAATTTTACTAACAAATTTTTTTTCCAATTATTTTTTTTTCAAATAATTTTTTTCCAATTAATTTTTTTTAATGAATATTTTTTTCAACTAATACTAACTGAGGGGGCAATTGGTATCACAACTTTAAACCTTGGGGAGGGGATTATAATTTCTAAAATGTGTGGGTTGTCAATGTAATTTACCTAGTGAGGGCAAAATTGGTATTTAAAAAAATTAAATTGCTAGGGGGAATTTGTAATGAAACTTTAAACCTCAAGGAAGGAGATATAATTTTCAAAAGGTGAGGGGGAGAACTGTAATAAACATAAATCTCAGGGGGTGTCACTGTAATTTATCCTTAAAAAAATTAAGAGAAAGTTTAGAAATTTTTTTAAATTTGTTTGGTTATATATTTTGAAAATAGTTTTAAAATTTGAGAGTTTGGGATGATTTGCTATTTTATTGTAATTAAGTAGATGTGTATGATAGAAAAAATAATTGAAAATGAGAGAAGATAGAGAAAAAGTGATTAATTGATGTGTAATACAGAAAAAAATAATTTTGAATTTTTTTTGTAACTAAACATGTTTTTGGAAAAAAATATATTTTAAAACACAAACCAAACACATCTCTTAAATTTCTTTATAAGAATGTGGGGGTTATATACACATGAATTTGTGTAAGATTTATATACACATGTAAAAAGTTTAATAAAAAATTTAATAAATTATTTAGATCACAACATTTTTTTATTTTGGTATGACCATGCTTGCTTCTTTTTGGTATGACCATGCTTTCTTTATAAAAATGGGGTTATTTCGTTTTTGATAGTGAAGTCTAAAAATTCCACACATTAGGAAAAATTATTTTAATTTTTATCTTAAAAAATGAATAATTATAGAAGAGTCCAGACATAGAATAAAAATGAATAATTGTAGAAGAGTCCAGATATAGGAGATTTTCAGTGGTGTTCTGGTAATATTTTGATGACCTTTTTTACATTTTTGAAGTATAGATTTACATTCTTAGAATATAGATCTTTAATTTATAATGTAAATTTGAACTTTTTATGTTTAAAATATAGTTTTGAAAGTTTCTTTCCCATTTTCAATATGGATTATTAAATTTTTAACACCCATAATGGTTCACTCCTCTCAAGCTTTCTCCTATATTATTATAGGTGTACTTCTTCCTCAACTCTAGTTTCTGGTGGTGTCCGAAGTGCGGCAACGACGATGGCAGAGTTGG